TGACATTATTATTGTCCACACTGAGAACCGTAAGATTATTCCTAAAACGTTTTTCATTTGTACCTTTCAGGTGGACGCAATCTGTTTAACCCAATGGAACAACGACCCAGGAAGTGTGTGTAAGAGCCTCAGTGCCGTGTGTCAATGGCTCTCAGTAGTTGCACAATGGAATTGAATTTCCAAAAATTGTGCCCCTGATGGACTAAAGCGATCAGGCGATTGAGTTGCGAGTGCCAGTCCGAACGTTTAAGCCACATTTAGGCACTCCGGGGTCTCAGGAGTGCTTGGAAAGGACTTTTCAGCGAGGGTCATGGATTCTCATGACTCTCGTGAGTCATTTCATGTGTCGTGAAATTCCCTGAGCTGCAAAAACATGGATGTGGATTACGACGGTTGTTGGCCTGAGCACATGCGCAACAAAATGCAACATTTCGGCATGAAAAGTTTTACTCCATCTGTGAAGGTTTTGCAACTGAGAGCATTGTGCGGATAATGTGCACCTGTGTCAAGCCACCACTATTAACACGACTAAAATCGGCACTCTCTGATTGGTTGGAAATCAGGCTGATCCGAATCGAGGTCATTGAGCTCGGTGCTTCTCGCCCCATCGTCTTGGAATACTTTTGTGGCTGTGACCACTCGTTCTTCCGGAGTCGCTTCTCCCTACGTTCTCCGGGCCAAGTCAGTTCTGGACTAATCGCTTGGCAACCGAAGAACTGACAGATCCGTATGTTAGACGAACTTGCCGGAATCGTCTTCTAGAGTCTCTCTGCACTATCATATGCGGGCTCATACTGATACGAGATTGCCACGTCTTTGCATAGCGCTGTGGGTTTTGCCTGTGGCATGGAATCACCAGGCCCACTCAAGCTATGGACATCAGACCGAACGTTGGCATTCCTTAAATCCCCGAGGAATATTCCAGCCGGCTCGGAACATAACATGATGCGACGAATAATCAGGCGTCAAGTAAAGGTGAGCGTACAAGCCGACCGTGAAGTGTCGTGGACATAGAAAGTCAGGGATTTGGAAGAGGCCCGGACATCCGGGAATGCCCGGAGATTATTTTAGTTGGTCCGTGCGACCAGCCCCTGGGAACCACCTGTGGGCGGAACCGTCGAGGAGTGAACATCTCGAATACTTCGAACAAAAGTTATCGTGACCACCAGTTGACATTCATCTGAAGCCCACAGTTGAAGTAGAACTCTGGGCGGTGAACGTGGAGCCAGCTACGGCTTTCGAGGTTTATAACTGCATATGTCCTCTCAAGTGCCATCGGGCTTCTGACCCGGATAACCTCACCCGCATTGTTCAAACATGGGGATGGAGTTCTGAGACAGTGCTTGTCCGATCTTTGGGAAAACGAGACTGTCCGGGACAACTGGTTAGAGTCGGTCATAGTGCCCGTTTTCAAAAAAGAGGCTCGTAGTGAGTGTGGAGACCACAGAGGGGTCAGCTTAACCCCGGTCGTAACGAGACTGTTGGCGTCATTTATGCTCAATCGCCTTTTGGTGGCTCGCAAAACACTGACTCAAGAGAAGCAAGCGGGGTTCCGGCCTGGTAGTGATTGCATTGACCAAATCTTCACACTCCGTCAGGTGGTGGAACAACGCCATACGTATGAGCAACCCAAGATTTTAATATTTCTGGATCTTCAAGGCGTATTGGACTCGTTTAGCCTGTCTGTTCCACTTGCAACACTTACCAACAGATGAATGCTCCGGAAGTTTGAACACAATAAGTTCTTTGTATTCCCATTCTGTGAGAGCATACGGGGAGCTCACCTAAAGTTTCCGCACACAGAGCTGTGTCTGTCAGGGATCCCCACTCTCCATTCCAGTTTAATTTTTGATCGGTGAGATGATGCGACCAACGCTGTAAGGTCCTCGAAACTCCGGTGTTCAAATAGCCTGTGACGAAAACCTTGTTAATCTAGAATATGCAGACGAAATCGTTCTCATCTTCGAAGGAGAGAAGGCGAAGGTGCTTTTGAATGAACTGACGAAAGTCATCCTGTCCTTTCATGTGCACTTTGCATCCACAAAGTATAAGGTCATGCTCCTGGACATGCAGTCACCGTATACGCCACTTACAATACAGGGAGAGGCACTGGAAGTTTTGGAGCGTTTCGCGTACCTTGGAAGTTATTAGTTCTGATTGTACTATGACAGATGGGGGAGCGAAATGGACCAAGTGGTAAGAGCGCGAATTTACTGACCGCAAGGCCCGTGGTTCGAACCCGACCTCTGCCACTCGACTTCCCCTGTCTAGGCTTGGGCGACCTGGCAGTATCCCAGCCCTCGTGCCTCCTTCGTGAAGCATGGCAGCTAGGCGCCGAAAGGGTGCTGAACGATACTATGACAGATGAGGTCAATCTGTGAATCTCCGAGGCCCGAGTGGCGTTTACCAATTCGGGATACCTATGGCGTCAAACCGGTATATCCCCAAATCTCAAGGCAGTGTGTATTGGGCAACAATGCGTGCTATTTTGTTGTATCGCTGTGAGACTTGACTTGTTCGAGCAGCGGAACTGAGACGTCTTCAGGTGTTCGACAATCGTTGTCTCAGAACCATAGCTCGTGTGAGATGATGTCGGCGTATCCGTATCGAGGCAGTTAGAAAGCGATTTTTCGGTTGTGCTGCTGGGACTTCCAGCACCAGAAGCTGCGTTTGTTCGGCCATGTATTGTGCACTCGCCGTGCAGTGATCCTGTTTGCCGAGGTTTTGTTCGCCGATTTGAGGAGGTGGGGTAGATCGCTGCGCATTGGAGGTGGTAGCTGATATATTTCATCCGTGAATACAGTATTGTCAGTGGAGTTTTTATTAGGGAGCTTCGGAAGGGTGCTATGCATTGGATACATGAGCGCCACTGAGAGGGCGACTGGGCCATGTCTGACATTGTCTCCAACTATTCATGTGTCTGTCTTGGGGTCCCCATCCAAACAGACGTCAATGACCTGCGTAGCTGATTTTGCTGGTAATGGCTTCCATACTTCGCTTCCAAGTCAATGATTGGCCTTCGCTATGTAGTTTCCACGTGATTGTGCGAAAAGAGCCTTACGAGGAAGTCGGTCAGCTGGTATACGGGGCACGTCGCCAAGCCAGCGCAACTTCTGGAGTGTGAACAGTTCATCTATTTATTTATTTCTTTCTTTCTTCCAACGCATTCAGCATTGTCCATCCGTCGTTCCTCTCCTAGACTCACTCAATGCTCCGAAGAAACCGATGGTCAAACACTGAATGTCTTTACGTCTTCTGCTTGCGGTGGTCAGGTTTCTGACCCGTATAGTGAAATAGAGTGCACCGCAGCATTGGGAAATCGGCTCTCGGCACATAAGCTCATGTCATGCCCAAGTCGCAGGTGATGTATGTTCACGAAAGCTGCTGTAGCCTTCCCAATCCAGACAGATATATCACATTTCACGAGACCACCGGTACTGATACAGCTGCTAAGGTAGACGAATTTGTCTATCGGCCCAGTTGGCTCATCCGCAGGCATGAGGTTAGAGTTCGAGCCCACCCAGTCTTGTGGGTGTGAAGTGCATACCAAACCGTGATACAGAATTATCTAGATTATTTAATTTTTTTGCATTACTCCGGTGTCAGTTCGAAGAAGAGCCATGTCTTCTGCGCACTCGAGTACCCCGGGAGCATTCCGACCTCACAGGTGTCAGAGGCTGGTAGTGGTCTTCCATAATCGCAACAATGACGAAGTTGAACAGGGAAGGTGAAAGAGGAAAGCCCTGCCTAACATTACTTGATGTGGTGAGTTCAGGCGAGAGCTTCCGGTAGTGCTCCTAACGTCCACCGAAGATGGTGACATCGCCTTAAGAAGAGTTCAGAATTTACGGGGTCACCTTTGCTCCACAGACACTGTAATAGTGCATGACGGTCAACAGAGTCAAAGAAAGCTTCCAAGTCAAAATAACCATTGTTAGTCGCTGGAAACAGCGCCGCTGTTCAAGAATCTTTCGGCGGGTGAAACTGTGATCGGTGGATCCTTTTGGACGACGTAACTTAGGCTGGTTTTAACGGATCTCTCTCTCCCTATTTTCAGTCAGCCTTCGAAGAACAAGACCAGATAGCACCTTTGGTGACAGCTACCAAGCAAAAACAATTGTGGTTTTTACACAGCATCCGTGTACCCTTTTTGAAGATAGGAATAGCTGTCGATATGCTCCATTCCGCAGGCACTTTCTCTCCATTCCAGTAAGCTCCTCACGTTTCAGTATGGATATTTCGTACTTTAGTTCTTCTGACGGGCGTTCAAGTTTTGCATTCCATTCACTGGTATGCACCAGAACACTTCGAACAACCAAACTGTTGTTCCAAGTGTTGGGCCCATCTTCACAGCCGACGTTTTTGCGAGTGCCGCCCTTCTCATTTATCGTCTCTTTGACCGTTACTTTCCTAGACCAGTCGTTCGTGTAGGTCGATATAGAGCACTGCTGTTTCCCGTAGCAAAAGCCTTCTCCATCTCCCGAGCTTTTGATGTCCACCCGAGCTCTCGGTCTTTTCTTAGTCTCTTCACCATTTGGCGTTTTGAGGTGTTTGCGTGCGCCATCGTACTCGTTTTTGCTGGTATGGATTTCCTGGCATCAATCATGGATAGCGATCTCGTTGATATCCAGCGGTCTTGTGGTCAAATCGGAGAAGTCGGACAGAAAGCGATGAACACCGCTAGTGAAGCTCCTTTCACATCTTGCCATACTTCATCCACGTGCTCATTACCAGTGCAATATTGCTCTACTATAGGGGGTTGTTGAGCTAACTCAGATTGACACCGTTTTTCTAAGGTGATAGGCTGGTGTGCTTTTTCGGCTTTGTGAGGGCCTTAATGGAAATGAGCTGTTGGACGTGCATGCACCATGGCATGATCGGAATCAAGTGGTGTGCCCCAGAAGGAACGGCAGTCTTGAGTTGTGACCCTCCATCGATGGCTGATAGTCATGTGACCCAACTGGGTCCACGATTGATTTGCAATTGGTAGCCGCCAGATTATGCCATACAAACGTTTGTTTAGAAAGTTTGTACTGGCCGGAAACAGTTCATGGTCAGCACACAACTGGAGTAGCCTTTGTCCGTTGTCTGTGCGACAAACATCAACTCCGATTCGACCGCCAAAATGTGATTCCAAGGAGCTCAGACAACCGACTTGGGCATTTATATCGCCAGCAAGGATCACAATGTCAGTGCATCTTGCTTCATGAATAAACCGGATAACTCTCGACAGAAAGTATCCTTTCCAGCATCAGAACTGCAGCTGTACGGCAGTGAAGCATCAGTGTTGAACACTGATGTCATGCTGTTGATGATGATGAGAACTGCAGTTCATTTGGGCACAAGCCGACACTACAAACAAGCACCGCTTTTTATCCCGAGAGGCATTGAGCTTGGTTGAACTGAATAACCGGACGGCTCAAAGACGACTTTTCAGTGGGGTCCAATCCAGCAAAGTGCGTTCAGCTCTTGAGCCGAGTGCAACTCCCACGCGATATATTCCGCGAGTCATTGATTCTGGGTCACCGGACACAAGAAGGGAAAAATCTGAAAGAACTGAGTTCATTCTTGGCGTTCTAATTTGCGTAACTACGCTCGGGTCATGTATGCGTGTTTCGGAGATATAACATACATCAATTTTAAGGGATCACAAAATTTCAACAACCATTGCCTGTTTGCCAATTTGACATAGACTACGGATGTTGAAAGCTCCTATATAGGAAGGATCTTTTGGATTTAGAAGGGTGTTACTTTGTGTATTGTTAGTAAGCAGTGGGGAGCGTCAGGTCCTTCGGTCAGATAACTGACAGTCAAATGACCCAGCGACGTATGCTTGTGTGGTGGGAAGGGGCGGGGAGGGACACCGGTGGACACTGAACTGCGCTGGCAAGTGATACTTCCTAGTCGCCCAGGCCGAGGAAGGGAGTTTGGTTGAGGTACCCTACCTTGAGCCTCTGACCCAAAAGTCTGACCCACGAGGCAGCGTGTTAGGCGGAATTTCACACGGTCATCTTTGGGGACCCCTCCAAGAGCCGATGACCCAATAGTCTAACCTGCTCGGTTGTACGGGGCGGGCCTAACCCGAGGGTGGTGTTTTTCAGGCACATATATCCTTCCCCCCACTGGATCATACAAGTTGCCGAGTGAACGCTGACTCCTGACCGGTTGACTCTGCAAAGGAGGTATCCATCACGAAGAGCAGGCCCGTTTCTCATTTGGGAGTTGGCTCGATAGCGCTGCTTATATTTTGATCAAGAATGCAGTCCTGGTATTTTTGCAATCGAGTAAAATACAAGTATTGTATAGAAGACTTTAGTTACTCAGCCCAGTGTATATGAAATCCCCAAAAGTAAAGTCAACGTGCTTGTGTTTTACCGTCCTGTCTAATGGCCTCATCACTGCCTAATGCAACTTTCAAAACGAGGTCAATTTATCTACTTCACCATATTGTTTTTTGTGTCACGCAGGCCATTTGAACTTCCACCTCATGACAAATACAACATCTGAAACGCCTGGAACTATGCTTGCGACACTAAGTCGTCTACAGGGTTGGCTAGGCACTTTAGTCCTGAGCTCGGATGGCTCCATTCTACAATCAGCGGGCGAGTTGGTGAATAGCAAAGATATCGCGCAACGATTCGCAGTAATAGCCAATCGAATAGGTCGACTAATTAATTTGGAAGACCACAGACAAACACCAGAGTTCAAACGAGTTACCGGTGAGTTACACGTTTCTATCTATCTTTTGAAGGGATTTTTTAGATTCCTTGTCTGTACTCTCAATAGGCGCTACCTCCTTATAAGAACTCCGTTTGTATGGCGTAAACCTGAGAGAGGAAGTTTTTGCCGGGATGTTGCAATATGTCGCTAAATTGTTGGCTGTGTCGCAGTCGCCTAAAAATTAATACCACGATCCATAATCAGAGGGTAGCTTCATCATCATCCTCGGCAGCATTATGTCACTGTTCAGTGCTGTTGTTTTGCCGACGCGGCATACCACGATAGTTTATACGTTTAGCCTTGATGTCTATCCAAAGGCCAATTTCAGTTCCTCGCCATCTCGAGGCCTATTTTTATGCACAGACATCCTAGTTACTTCTCTTGGTCAACCCAATCAAGAGTAGTGTAAATGTTCGTTGATGCTCCTCTAGGGCCATAAATCCGAAGCGATCTCATGGCGGCTTTTGGGCTCATAATTTTTGTGTAAATGTTGAGTGAAACAAAGTACAGTTATGTGTTTGCCAGTCTCACATGTCCAGTTCCCAGTTTTGATACGGCCTAATATCCAATCGGGCTTGTATCAATGATGGGAATACTGTTAATATTCTCTCCTGGCTTAAAGGATATCTGTTTTGTGTGCTCCGATTCATAACTTTGTAAGAACTTACCGGAGTTCTTCAAAACGTACGTAAGCGAAATTCTTCCGGCAAGAACAATGTCCAACTATTACGCTCACTTTTCAACTTCTGTGATTGACGTTGGAAGGTTTCTGCCCTTTAAATGTGTAAATTTCATTACTACAGGTTGTACAGATAGCGGTCTTATCATTTCAGACATGAATTGACCAAAATTCATTTATACTTGGGTTTGTGGTTCGCACTAACGAATTGTAAAATAATGCACTTCATTTGGGGTTCATGGAAAGTCGTTGTAGTCCACGAGACACCTTGGAAGTATTCGAATTTGCCTAAGCCTCAGCAGTGGTTTTGTTCACGGCTGGGGTGCGATTGTCAAGACCGAAAACTGCGTTTGTTAGTCTGGGTCATTTATATGTGATCCATGCATATCTAAATAGCATGGATCTGATATTTTCGCATGCTCAGGGATTCGGTTGAAATGCAGCGTGTACTTCACTCGAGATGAATGCTACGCATGCCTAGGTATTGTCTATTAAGAAGACTTTGAACTTTTGTGTTGGGCGACAACAACAATGTGGTCGTACATATGCAAAGCCTTGTCAACAATGCCTTGTTTCAGAAAGAAGTAATCATTTGGATTCGCGTAGTTCTGTGCTTGGGCGTACTTTCTGAACTGCGAAGCCTTCATTTGGTGTGGACTTCCTGAACAGATGACCTCTTGTTTCAAACAGATGTGGATGATCATCGCTCGCTCCAAGAAAAATCTGCCACATTAATGATATACTACTCACCACATTCGAGTAGCTAAATCGATGCGATATTTCCACCCACGCTATTTTTTGAGAGTCGGATTCACTTTGTCTGGACTTCATAGTTATTAGGAAGTCCACACTGACAATCAGTCTATAATTATCGCATAACTTCATCGACCTCCAGTGACCAAAAAAATGTTCTTCAAGTGAATAAACTAACCCACGAGCTAGTGGGTTACTGTGGGTTGATGGAGGCGGAGTTGCGGTGGTTGGTTCTGTAGTTCTGTCCCGGTTCGGCATTTAATCTTGCTTCTTGTTATCTACTTTAGAATAGTCTCCTCAGATTTTCTTGATTTTTAATTTGGGTTGCGATCAGCCGCTTATTGTGGGCACTGTCGACTTCTTAGGTCACACAATGGCCGGAGGGCTCTGTGTCAGGTAGTAGCACTCGGCACATTTTTGATACGCTGAATTGGTTTGGGTTGCTTTCAGATGCATTTTTTCTCCCCATTCATAGTTCATTTCCGCCACTGTTTATACGTGATGACCTGCGTCGGTGACACTATCTACGTGGTGAAGCGGACGACCGATGATGTGCAAGATGCGTCTCAAGTTGCTGATTTTCCGGACTCGCGGCAGCCGATTTAAATTGTTTTGGTAATGGAGCACATCCACCGTGACTATCAGCTATGGGATGGTTGAGTGGCTCTTCACTATCGAGGTTGAACAGCATCCCAATTTGCTCACTGAACTTTCAAATTGGTCCTATGTACTTCTCTTTTCTTCTTGTTGGTTACCATATTCCATTATTCATGCGTTACTCTCCCGAAATATTGTGATTTATATCATGCACATTTCTTTGTGATAGCCACTGTGGTAGGTTACCAGTCCACAACTTATTTTAGCTAACTGCAGGGTTCATTGAATGTTTCCTCCACCAGAGATGGCTCAAGTGGTTAGAGCATGAATTCACTGACCGGAAGGTCCGTAGTTCGAACCCGACCTATGCCTCTCGACTCCCCCTGTATAGCCTTCGGCAACCTGGCAGTATCTCAGCCCTCGTGCTTCCTTCGGGTGGCATCGCAGCTAGGTACCTGAGGGGTGTTACAGCTGAACGACTCCTCCACCATCGTCTGAATGTTGCTCCTTTTGTCTGATGGCAATTATTCCGGCTCCCCCACACAAGAGACGAAAAACTGTGATGGAGTTTATATCTTATTGGAACTCATCAGTTGCATTAGCACTTCAACGCTAGCAATCTAACGTGTGAGGCGGACACAAAGCCTGTAATATGACAGTGAAACATTCACGTTCAACCGCTTTTTTGCGAGAATTGAATCTTGCAACTGAGGGACTTTTTTTAAAAAAAAACATGCTTTGGACAAAGGACACGATCGCATGGTCCCAATATTGTTCACATTTTGACAGATATAGTGCCCATATGAAACCGTACATCCAAGTGGGATTTTTCGGCTTATTCAGGTGGAGGACATATTCTGTGCCAAAACGGTAAGGTTTAGTTCTTTGAATGCGAGTTACTCTATGGCGCGTATTCCGTAAAAAGGTCGGTGTCACTCAGGCTACGCTTTTGTAATGATTGCACTGTTTACCGTATGCGCTAGGTTCTCTAATACTCTTTTGTGTCTGTGTGCTAGCTGGATGATTTAGGAGCTTGATGGAATTTATTCTATCACTGAACAGTCTAGTTACTTGAGTAGGAAAAAGACAAAGGACACAAGATGAAGATCAGCTATATTGCAGACGAACCAATGGAAGAAAGAGCGCCGCCGCTCAGTCGGCTACGAAATAGAGAAAATGAAATCTCAGTGAAATGTTACAAAGGGTAGAATTGTTCGTTAGGACCTCACCACCCTAACATACTCAAAGTAGGTAACTGTGTAATCTTGTCATGCTGCCTCAGGAATTCGGAAAGGGAAACCAGAAGCACACACGTCTGCTCGCGTCAGCACAACCCTTGTTTATTGAGTTTTATCCCCAGCTACACATCATGCAGTAGACATGCGGCCGTGTTTGCCACGTAAAATCTAAGCGTGTTGTATCCAAAAAACCTTCAGCTGTAGCACCCTTCCGGTGCCCAGCTTCCATGCCACCCAGAGAAAGCCTGAGGGCTGGGATACAGCCAGGATGCCCAAGCCTAGACAGGGAAAGTCGATAGGCAGAGGTCGGTTTCGAACCACGGACCTTCTGGTCAATAAATTCGCGCTCTAACCACTTGAGCCATCTCGCACCCCTGTTGTATCCAAAATCGGGACAAACATTTGGGTCAGTTGATGAAACAAGAAGGTAGTTCGTCGGTCATAAGCACTTAGACTTCATCCCTTCGGTCGCAGTACCAAAGACAATCAACTTACATTTCTGGCTTACTAAACGTAAACAACGATAGCCTTTCACTCTGGGACATGTCGGTCACTAATCCTCTGGCTTGTAACCACTCAACACCACAGAAAAAAATAAGGTTCGACGCTTATTGTTGGGCCGGGGCTTTGCGAAAAGAAACAAGTGAGGAAAGGTTTCCTATCTGTTCGGTGTTCCGCAAATTCACTCACAGAAGCTTCTTCCAAAAGCTATTCTTATTTGATTCTTCAAAAGCGACACCTAACCAAGTCGGTATCACGCGTTCATTACTTAGTGCAACTTGTGTTTTCACCTGCGGCTGCCATGATGTGCACATTGACAGCAATAAAAGGAAGGGCGACTTGTGAAACGCGCGATGGAAACGAAGTCAAGAATAACGCAACGCATGTACCCTTCATCGGTATTCAGTCATGGATATAACATCACTGAAAATACGCTTCTACCTGGAACGCTGTCATTAGACCGACAGAGACCGTAAACTTGAATAGGGGTGTCTTTGAGACAGTTATTAGGGCTTCCGTGGGACTAACTAGCCCATCTGTGTTAATCTGATTCAAATTACCCAAACACAAGAGATGTAGAAGCTAAACATTATCATCGTTTGATCGTAGTACCCTGCTGCGCAGTGATTCTCAACTTTTCACTTTGTCTTTCTATCACTGAGAGTAATCATAGTGCAGTGGATGATCTGAAGATTGTCGCATAATCAGGAGTCACTCTTGTAACCCACATTGAATTTGGTCCAGCTACGATAAGGGGAGGTGATATCACTCGGAGAACAAAATTGTGAACTATTAATGGTGCTAGTGGCCTTTTCATCAGTAGGTAGTCCTAAGCTCTGTTGCTGGCTCGCGTGCTGTGGAACTTCCCGGGGTTTCATCTCTCATTAGGGTTTCGCTCTTTCGGGGATACTGTTGTCGAAATTGGATCGATAATTCAATCGAGACCCCGAATCGTACTGGATTTTGGTGGTTGGCTGATATGAAGTTCGACCCTCGGACTGACTGGACGCTCCGTGTTGGTTGGAGAAAGCTGGGAAGAATTGCATGAACGATCAGGCATCCTTACACCAGAATCAGGAAGCATGGGGAAAACAAGCGGGCCGCCAAGGAACATTTTGTAACTGCATTTTCCGCCAAGAAGATCGGAATTCTAATCATCAAACGTATACATAGATACCGTGGGCAAAATGTTTTACACCCCCAGAACCAATGTAGTGAAAACCATATGAAACGAGAAGCTTGGACATGATGCATGGCTGAGGATACTGAGTGAAATGCCTGTGCTGATGTTGTAAATGAAGAAGGCATCTCCAACGTCAACGCACAGCTGTAATAATGTAGTGACAGTCATGCTCTACACAAAAAACATCTTTTGTAATTTACTGTTGCAGCAACAAGTGCATGCCCCTCGATTTCGGTAGCGATTCCCTGTTTTCTTAGTCGGTCATTGTTGAGCGGTGTCACTAAGAGGAACGATGCGTACTGTAACAGAGTATTCGGCTTCACCCCCAGCTGCGATAATGCGCGAGAAATGCGGAGAAATCCTTCAGGCTATATTGTTTAAAATGTTGATAGAACTTCTCAAATCTCATCACTACTTATGAAAAGTTGTTTTCGACTTAAGAGAAGGCGCCTTGTAGAGGACAAACCTTTTTGTTACCTCGAATATTGGCCTAAATGAAGCACGAAGTGGCCTTTTGTGCAACACAAACAGTTGATGGACACCTGAAGCAGGAGATTCAATTCTTTTCTGACGACTGTAAAACCGTCCTGATTTGCATGTGAGTCTTGAACTCCAGACTATAACCACGTTTACCCAAATGCATGGACAAACAGTTGCCGAACAGCTTGGCCGACTAAAGAAGACACCTTCCTATACACACTGAACGTCCATATAGTCGATCATAGAGCACTGTTAAGAAAGACCATGGGTTACAATTCGATATTCCTGCCGCTTAGTTGTATGGTCTGTAAATTACCCAGGCACTACGTATCGAACACTTGCAGCCAACCGACTAATTCCTCAACATTCTGAAGCAATGATTGATTAACTCGGTTATTGTCTCAATTCCGAAGTAATATTACCCCAATTATTTAAACGATCGGCTGACTGTCTTTTTCGTTACTTTGGAATCATGCAGTGACGGGTGCAATTCATTCAGCACACTGGCGTCTTCTGTTTGGATAAAACACAGCGGTTTTACTGTTTGACGGTTTGTGCTCGAGATGTTCCGTTTCCTGGCTGAAAATGTGTAACCATAAAGTCCACTGCCGATGTAAGAGTTCCTTTCTTCGGATGGGTCCATGCTGAACAGATTAAGGTCAGAAGAAACAGGATGTGCAGATAAACACTTGGCTATCTAAAATGACTGTGTATCTTGATTTTCTTTCAGTCTGTTTTTTGAATTACAAAACAACTTTGGTGGAAGCTCGGGAACAGGATCTGTCTGATTTACACGAAAGCGCGGCTAAACTGGCATTAGGCCTTTGCGCGAAGTCGTCTATTGGCAAACACCGCTGAACAGTTACAAACCATTGGACGGGAGAGTATACGTCCCATATGTACCTTGTTTTCAACAAATTAATGTTTTCCCGCGTCCTCTTGAACTTTCGCGGATTTTCATTATCTATCACGCAACCGTAAACGAACGCTGTAAAGCGGTGGTTCCACAAGTTCCGCAATAAACCCCACTTTCCATTGGACGCGAGGCGGATTTGCCGGAAAACCACATGCTACTCGCGTGCCTCATCAGTAGTATCTGCTGTACAACATCAAACAAAATGAGTAACGATTCTGGGACGGACGATTCTGTCCATAGATTTCTTGCAAATAGAGTGCTTTTTATTCGTTGATATCTACATAGAGCTAATTGCTTTTGTTGTTTGGCTGCTTACACGTCATTCTCTAGGTTTCGGCGAACCCTCCGCTACCAAAGAACGGCTTGTGTGGTCAAGAATGACATCCGTATCCTAGTGTGAGGACCGGCTATTCTAATGGCAGCGCATAATGAGAGTGAAGCTTACAACTCGAAGGCGGTGCATAAACCGCGTCATCGTTACACGCAATATCTAGTGATAGCTTCGCTTCTCGGTTCGGACGAGTTGACTAACTCTGGTACATTTGTTAAACCGGAACGGTCTGATCTCCCACAACTAAGGAATTTATAGTCCCTCGGAAATCAAGTTGCACGAGGATCAAGTTGTGGCTTGCATCAGGAGAATTCGGTTCAAAAGTTACATGGTTACTCTGGTTTGGCGAGTTAACTAAATCTACTGCAAATGGCTGGTTCAGACTAAGTTACTTTCAAACACATTTAGTCATTGGGGACAATACGGAGGTAAAACATTCTCACAACTGTTAAGTTTGGAAATCACATCCTTACATCCTTGTCAATACTCATCTAAAGCTATTCGTTCAGGAATCTTTTGAAGGCGTATTTGACAACTGACAGGTACTCGAAGCTCGTGGATACTGTTTGGTTTTTTGCATCTTATGCTTTGCGGACGACACTCCATTGACCACTGATTATGGCTACAGCGTTCTGTTATTCGAGCAGGTTCCCAGTCTGCGTGTCTCTGTCATCACATACAATCAAAGCCAAAGTGTTTGCCTTACCTTCATTCGGTAGCATCAAAATATGCTTTCCTATCCGTAGTCCCATGAGTAAGATGTGAATACCATGCAGAATGCTTAAGCTTGACCAGCTCCGGGTGTTTTCCACACACCTCTTTGATTCAAGGAAAGATGGGACGCATTTTCATAAAGGAAACTACTCACA